CAAGGCTCAAGTAGTTAATAAGTCTGTGCAGTTTGTAGAGATAAATCAAGGGTGGTTAGCGGTAGAACAAAAACGTGATGCATATGTTCAAGATATTGTTGCTCAGCTCTTAAATAATAAGTTTCCCGATTCAATTAGTCACATCTACGATGTTAGAAACAATATGCTATATCGAAAAAAAATTGAGCGAAACAAAGTTAGTCGTTGGTAACCTATCGTCCATCAGTCCCTTGTATGGACTTAAATCAACCATATCCATACTGAGATAGACACGTTTAGTTTCTTGATGGAGTGCAACGCAGGCAGGTATTTTTAGGTGTTCTGGGATTTGGTCCAGTCACCTTTTGGGATTTAGTCCTCTAGTTCGGTTACCGTCCACTTTTTCAATCACTAGCGGACGTTTAAAGCTGTCCGTAGTTCTGTCAGGGAACTGACCAATCAACGCCAGTATGTGCTGCAAATAGATATTAGATAAGCGCTGACCATATTTTGAGGTATGCGTAACATACTTCGTCATCACCACATTCCTAAGGCATCAATTCTTTGCCTGTCAACGACTTTCATAGTCCACGTCTTTGCACTATACAGAATCGGATAGCTAGATAGATAGAAATATAGAGAAGGCAAGCGTTCGTATCAGATGCATTTTTGTTCCATTAATAATTTTCCTATCTCTCCAAATTTTATTCAGTGGGGTTATTGCTATTTTGGCCATGTAAATTCTCCTACGGATTTGCATACATTTTATTGGCATACTATTCACATAGATATGACTGGGACATTAAGTGGCAAAAGCGACAGAAAAGAAATACGCGTCAGTAATGATTGATTATGTTATCAAGTATGTCCTTTAAGAGCATACTCTATCCCTCGATGCCAGTTGTACTATTAAAGCGTTGAGAAAAGCTGTTTCTCTTTTCGGTGTTCTCAAGCGAATTGTTATATCGGGGAAGGGGCTTTGTAAGCGCGGACTTTAGAGAATTGAGTAAAACACCTCGTATAGAACTTTACTTTATAACAACAGGGGCAAATAAAGCCAACGGTCAAGTAGAAAGGGTCATGCAGATTTTAAAATGTCTGCTAACTATTATAGAAAACGATACCCATAAAACGTGGCGTGACAAACTTCCTGAGGTACAAGGGACGAAACCGCTTAGCATTCAATGGATTCACCGTGCGGGTGCCGGGTCCATCGCGTTGCAGGGAGGGGAGCTTCAGCAGTGCCTGGGACTTGCGACCCAGGTGTGGGTTTAAGGGGCCCCTTAACTAACGCGCGTTGTACGCTCACCTCCACTGTCCAAGTTCCTCTCCCTACCTAGCCAAATTTGGAAGGAACCTGCTAGGGCTGCTTTCGACGTACGTTCCGAGAATGAATTAATGTTGGTTCTGGACGGGCCCAAGTCTTTTAGTAGGTTGTAGAGAGATTTGGCTGTTATGCCTCTCGCTCCCACCTCTGCCGCGGACGAACCTATTTCGAGTTAGTTCGTTAGTGAGCTCGTAATACTTAATGACCTTGATGGCATGGTCTTTGGGGATGTTGGTTTCCCAAGGCACCGTAGGCTCTATCATCACAACGCGCTTTAAAATACGCGAATATAGAAATATGTCTGGTCTGGAGGCTGACGCACAAATATCCTCGGGGATTTTGTGTTGTTTCTCATACGTATCCATCATGATAGTCCAATCCGAAGCCGCTTTAAGGATAGAGTAAGGCTTGACGTTTGATTTTATAGCCCTGGTGCTCTCTCTCTCACAAAACCTATTGATCGCTCGTTTGTGGTTATTTCCCTTTGCGCTCTGGCTACCGAAAGGCTAACCGCTTCAAGTATGATCTCTAAAACCCTATAGTGACGACGCGAGAATTGACCGCTGTCCAGGAGAACCTTACATCTCACTAGCAAATGCTTAGCAGTTCCAACTGCCTTTCCGCAGATATAGCAAGTGTTTTCGGTACCTTTACCCCATCTTACTAAATTACTCTGGTCTGGGAGAGTCATCTAGCACTTAATAACACAAGCCGTAGTGTTACAGGATATACTCCAACAGAACTAATGTTTGGCATTCGCGCGCAATCTTTAGGGATATCATTAATAGCCCAAAATTCAAACGAGCCGAGATTAGATTTAGACAATATCCGGAATAAAACTTCCCTCAACACTGAAAACGCAGATCAAAAGGAAATAGTTAAATTTAGTAAAGGCAAAGCCCAAGTAAAACCTTTTTTTCTTTCTCGGGGAGATTACGTTTTTGTTAAGTGTAGCGAATGTTACCAAACTAAACTGCAAAGAAAGTTTAGGGGACCTTTTATCATAACTAAAATTCTAGACAACGATAGGTACGAACTGAAGCATACCGATGAATCTAATTGCACTTTAAAATACTCTCATGAAAACTTGGGCGCAGTACCCAGAGGCTTTGAAGGGTTAGTTGACATATCCACTGAACTAAGTAATGAGGAGGCCGAGACGGCGGGTCATGGAGTGGAGAGAATGGAAACGAAGCTATGTCAGATGATGAAAGTGAGTAGCTGAGTAGCTCTGATGGCCTCCAACATTGATAAACCATAAATGAGTTGTGTAAGTTTGAGTTGGTGTGTTTGAGGTGGCGATGGAACTGGCTGATGCGGCCGATGTTTCTAGTAGTGATGGATCAAAGCGTGCAGGGGCTGGCTCGATGGAGTCCACGTCCGGTCGACGCTTGATCAGGTTGTGAAGATGGACGGGCTAGCTCTGTGGAGTCTATGTCCGGGTCATCGTTCACTCACATGAGTATAAGTAGTGGAGATGATGGGGCTAGCTCATTGGAGTCTCGATCATCGTTCATTCGTTTGGCTGAGTTGTTCTGGATGCTCTGCAGACTGTGGTCAGACGAATATTGTCGTCCAGGTCAGAGCCATTTAAGTTGGCTGACTTGTTCTGGTGAGACGAATATTGTCGTCCGAGTCAGAGCCATTTAAGTTGGCTGACTTGTTCTGGTAAGACGAATATTGTCGTCCGAGTCAGGAGCCATTTAAGTTGGCTGACTTGTTCTGGTAAGACGAATATTGTCGACCGAGTCAGGAGCCATTTAAGTTGGCTGACTTGTTCTGGTAAGACGAATGTAGTCGTCCGAGTCAGGAGCCATTTAAGTTGGCTGACTTGTTCTGGTAAGACGAATGTAGTCGTCCGAGTCAGGAGCCATTTAAGTTGGCTGACTTGTTCTGGTAAGACGAATGTAGTCGTCCGAGTCAGGAGCCATTTAAGTTGGCTGACTTGTTCTGGTAAGACGAACGTAGTCGTCCGAGTCAGGAGCCATTTAAGTTGGCTGACTTGTTCTGGTAAGACGAACGTAGTCGTCCGAGTCAGGAGCCATTTAAGTTGGCTGACTTGTTCTGGTAAGACGAACGTAGTCGTCCGAGTCAGGAGCCATTTAAGTTGGCTGACTTGTTCTGGTAAGACGAACGTAGTCGTCCGAGTCAGGAGCCATTTAAGTTGGCTGACTTGTTCTGGTAAGACGAATGTAGTCGTCCGAGTTAGAGCCATTTAAGTTGGCTGACTTGTTCTGGTAAGACGAACGTAGTCGTCCGAGTCAGAGCCCTTTAAGTTGGCTGACTTGTTCTGGATGCTTTGAACATTGTGGCAAGACGAATGTAGTCGACCGGGTCAGAGCCCTTTAAGTTGGTTGACTTGTTCTGGATGCTTTGAACATTGTGGCAAGACGAATGTAGTCGTCCGGGTCAGAGCCCTTTAAGTTGGTTGACTTGTTCTGGATGCTTTGAACATTGTGGTGAGATGAATGTTGTCGTCTGGCTTAATTGCTACGAGATGCTCGCCTTAAGTCTTAAGTACCATAGCACATTTTGATGATTGTAACTAGTCGTTTGTCAGGATGCCGAACGGAATAGACACAACTGTAGTTCATTGATCCGAGAACCGCCCGAGGACGGTCGAATGTCAGTCCGGCCGTGACGGCGCATCCGTCAAAAATCATACGTCAGGTTGACTTTTAGCTGTCTGAGGTTAGCCTAGTGAAGCGTCATTGTGATGGTAGCGAGGGCGGCCATCTTTATGATGGAGGATCGTGCGAGATGACGCCCGCGCACCGCGCTCGTGACGAATCGCTGTGTATCGAAGTGATAGTGATATCTAGTGTTTCGATTGAGTTGGTGTCGTATTGAATAGACTGTACTTTATCCCTTTCAAAGTATGAGTTCCCATGAAGGCCCTCCTGTTCTTATAACGCCCTCCTACATATTAGTGATTTTAAATAACAAATATATTTTGTTCAATTTTATGTTCGATGATTGTAGAAAAATTCTTTCCTGTGTTTAAATAATTTATATTAATTAATGAACTTATATTATATTGGTAGACATCAGAGAGTCGCGATAATTTAATGGTATTAAAAACAGAACATTTTAATAGTTTATATTTATATTTATACGATTTCCGCGTGTACTCATTTGAATGAAAACAAATTTACTACTTTTTAATTACTATCCCATACAACATAACTACAAGATAACAAAACTTCGACTATAGACTTGAATTTAAATAGTATAATTTTTTTTATTTAAAGTCCATATTGAGGAAAACATAAAGTTTTAAATAACAAGTGTATAAAATAATTGCTATACCTAACGTATTAAATATAAAATATTCAAGTGTCCTTCAATATCGATTAAAAGTATGTTGTCTAAGAACTAGGCTAACACTTAAAACCTACAGTAAGTAATTAGAAGTATTTTAAATGAACGATGTTATTTAGACATAATCTGATCCATTAGGATATAATAAGTAAACAATAGTTCTATGGATGGTAGACTCGAGTCAGCAACAATAAAACATAAAGAATATTACCGTAAACGTTGTGTACGTCGAGACAAACGAACTATTTACTTTGTACCTGCGACATGCAATGGAACCGTCATATTTTTTTATATGTACTAGTTTTGTCTAGCTTAGAGTCTATTAAAAGCAAAAGTTATGTACAAATTTGGTAATCAATGTTTTTTTTTTCAGTTGACAATGACTACTGTGATGATAACATCCGAAATGGATGCGGCTCTGGCCTTGTTGGACTTACACAGGAATAATAATGGTAAATTGTTTTCCCAATAATAGATAAACAAAAATCTAGTTCATTCACTCATTATTACATATCTACTCCGATAAATTTGTACGTGTTATTGAAATATGTGTTTTCATTATGGATTTTATAAATTTCAGAGAGAGTCAATTCCCACCCTAGGGCCAATATGGATGGGCAAGTTCATATTGCAACAATTTTCAATAGTTTCGTAAATTCCAAGGTATTAAAAATATCAGTAGTTCCTGTTTTTATTTTTTTTAAACTAATAAAAATTTTTTTTTATAAAAATAAATATCTCACGAATTTCAGACTTCGCATTCACCAAGTACTAGCCCTAACCCTACAACAACCGCTGAGCGAAAATCGTGGAAGGTGTCGCCAGGAAGGAAAAGTCGAAAAACCAGTCCAGTACCAAAGAAGACAACAACATACGATATAGCAACCCAAACGGATATCGACGTAGATAACGAATCTGAAATAGAAAAAATGAGAAATGTTATTAAAGGTTTATGTGCCAGAATAGAAGAACTAGAAGCGAAACTCAAAACCAAAGAGCAAGAGACTTCTTCAGTTACGGACTCATTAGAACGAATAACAGATTATTCGAGTGATGACTTCAGACCACAGCAGAGGAGGCGATCGCATAAGCGAAAAAGAAATTTGACATTCACCACAGACTTCGTAAGTTAAATTATTAAAGATATAAGTGGTATATTTTTAACATAAAAACTTTCAACTTAACCTATCTTTTCAGAGTTCAATTGGAGATTACGATTCTACATTTAATAAAGATGAAGATACTATAGAGAACGATGTAAAGCGAATAAAAGCTTTGACGCAGAAAAATACTGTTAAAACTAATAAAGACACGGTAAAACAAGTTCTTTTGTATTATTTATATTATCAGTGTTATTGTTATATAAATATGCTGTAATGCTCCTTAATGTCTAGGTGTCTATTGGAGACGGAAACGCTGTGGTCCCAGCCAGGCTTCTTAAGCATATGGATTGGACTTCATACACAAATGTAACAAGGAAACTTCTAACTGCAGTATTTTCGAGAAAGTCAGTAGAAAACTTTAATTTCATAGTGGAAAAATTTCGTTCCAGTATCATAAGTAAATAATCATTATATTTTCAGAGTACTGGCGACCCACTCCTTAACTGGAAAACCTTCACCAGCATTTCCAGACAAACCTGCAAAAAAGAAGCTTGATCCAATGTTGGTAAATGACATTGTGCAGACGGTCGTAGAAAAATGTTGCGTACCCGAAAATGTTGTCAGGTATGAAAATAATATATTTTCATGTATCAAAAAAGTATTAAAGATTTTCATAAAGGAATATCGTAATACAAATTTCAACTAAGAATCTCTTTTCAAATTTCAGGACCAGTATCACAACAAAGTGTGCGGACGAAAGCAAAATGTTCCGCACACGAGAACAAAATAAAAAGAAGAAAATGACCTCAAAAAAAGAAAACATCACCCCTGATGATGAATCAGAAGTAAATTCTAATGTAAAGTACCTTAAATGATTGTTTATTTTATTAATTGAAACAATTTCAGCATAAGGTATTTAATTCAGTATGAAATGTAAATGGTTTTTGCTATAAATTATGTTAATTTAAGAGTGTTTATAAATTAATAAATATTAAGTAATAAATATATGGTATCAAAACGTTGTTTTTTTGTTTAAATAAACTTGATCAAAACCAATTAATTCGATTTTTGATCTACATAGATGGTCACTTTTTAGATTCAATTAAACATATGACGTATTGAATACATTTAATTAAATACACTACAAAAACATCCATTATATTTTATTTCATGAAATACAAGGTGTACCTAAGACTATAAATATATACATATAAATAAATGTAAATTCATTTGGTAGAATAACAATTCAGCAGTAAACGTAGAATCGCATTCTCTCATTGAACTCTGAAAGGATATGTTATTTAGAATATTTCAATGATAAAAACGGCTATATTTATTATATCAATATACACTGTATTTTTTACATTTTTTTCTTTTTGAGTCATAGTCACTTCCAAATGCGTTTGGTTTGCCACATCGTATGTTGTTTTCTTCTTTGGGACTGGATTTTTGCTCAGCGGTTGTCTTAGCGTTAGTACTTGGTGAATGCGAAGTCAGACGTGCACGAGAAAATTTTATTACAATCAAAAATCATTATTCTTTTTAAATAATTATAATAAATACTAATAATCTCTATCCCTTGGAAGTTAGGAAACTGTTAAAAATTGTTTTAATATGAACAGTTCCATCCATATTGGCAATCGGTCTGGAATTAACTCTCTCTGAAATTAATAAAATCTTATGTTTTTGTTTGTTTCTTTTTTCTATTTAAAATAAGAGATCCTTCAGATTCATTACCTGAGCCGATATTTTCTTTTTCTGTGGACTTTCGCTTCTTTTTATTTTGTTGACGTGTTCTGAACATTTTGCTTTCGTCCGCATATTTTGTTGTAATACTGGTCCTGAAATTTCAATAGACATTTTTGTTGAAATCTTTATCACAATATCCCTTAAGGAAAATCTAAAAATAGTTATTTGATATAGGAAAATCTATCATATTTGATTATAAGTACCCGATCTATTAGAGAATGGGTATACCGATCAGTTAGATAATGGGTAGCTAAAACTCTTAAAAACATAATATAATTGTTTTATGCTTTGTATGTATAATAGAAATGATATTCAATAATGATAACCTCCTAGGAAAGACAGCCTGCAGCAGTTGAAGCGTTGGGGAGGTATGAGATGTCCAATCCATATTAGCCCATAACCTTGCTGGCACAGTAACATTTCCGCTTCCAAAGGATACCGGATATAATCAATATTATATATTATATAAATATGTATAAAAGAGATTTCCACCTAGAATTAACTCATCACGATATCCCTGGAACCATAAGGCGTAGCAACTTGAAATTTGGTAGAATTAATCCTTTCGCCGAATATAGGTCAGCTAAGAACGGAATTTACGAAATTCCACCCACAAGGAGGGTTACGGGGGGTAAACAATGGCAAATACGCTTTCACGCCTAAACCACTGAACTGATTTTAATGAAATTTGGTACAGAGATGGAGTTGACCTTGAGAAAGAACATAAGATATTCTTTTATTCCAGACTTTTAAAAGGTTCTCTCGGAAACCGGACTCCATGCGGGCGAAGCTGCGGCCGGAAAGCAAGTTCTATATATTATGTAGTATGTACCTTTCATATTGAAAATAGTCTTGTCATTTAAAAGTCGACTTATTTGTCCATTGGGCATTGAATCTCGACTTTTAGATTGATAATAATGGTTTTTCGTCATGGATTTAGTAAGATTAAGATTGTGATGGATCTGAAAAATAAAATAAAACAAATGGTTAAACCGAAATTTTTACATCTAGAACTGTCACACCTGTCTTTAAGCGAGCAGAGGAAATTCAAATTTACCAATGTTATTTGAAGTTTGAATAAGATATAAATATCGAATTTAGTACACCTACGTCTATAGCTGTCGGATTTTAAATAATTGTTTTTGAATGTTTCTATTTTGTGTTGATTTACCTCTGCATCACTATCGCTATCATTCGAACTCGCTTTAACTTCTTCTGGGAGCTTGCATGTTCTATTTAAGGCATTCAAAGATCGTCCTTCCTGAGGGTCTAATATCTGAAAATAAAAACATTTTTGTATTAAAGACAAATACAAAATTACCACGTGGTAATGTAAATATTTTTAAGGAAAAATACTTGTAACAAATGACTTACTATCGACATTTTTACAAATAAATAAGGTTTTACGAATATGACATCATTCCCTTTCAGATTACTCTTAATGTTTAAATGTGATTGTAATTAGTAGATAAGTTCATTGATTTATTGTACATACATCGATGTCAAACATATCGTGAGGGATTTAAACCTAGAATTATTTAGTATAATCTTATTTTATTCTTCCTCCGACAACACGGTTTAAACATGCGTTTATTATTATTATATTGCCGAGTTCTCGTTTAGAAATTAAACCAAAAATGAGAATGAAATGTACAAGTATCACCTTACCAGTTGGCCAGTCTTCATTTCTTTGATGGTATTCATGCACGAAATAACGTCATTATTCACTTGATTGTCTTGTCTCTCCAACATTATTTTGAGATCCTTTACGTATAGTTTGCTTTCTATGAGATAGGAAACAAAGAGAATCATTATTATTAATCAATTAATTTATATGAGTATCACTTTAATTGCAAAATGCACTAATTCTCTTCAAATCATAAGGTGCCATGTGATTGTTATTATCGAAGATCTTAGAAAGTAAGAAATAGAATGCTTACATTTTAAATGGACGGTAACTGTATTAAATTATTGGATTCATTATAAGAGTGAGATAATCAATTTACGAATAGTTATAAATATGGATGAAAAAACACAAATAATCAAAATGAATGACTAGAAAATCCACCATACCAGATATCCTAAGTACTTGGGCCTTGCGTGCTCCATTGTTTTTATCTCTGACGAAAATAATATTCCCATTGTTAAGATCGGCCTCGTGTTGGATGATATTATCAGTATTTATAACGCCATAAGTAGAAAATGCACTTTTATCTTCGACATATTCTACAAGCAACATAAGTTTAGGATCCATATATTATAACATTTATTATGAACCGCCCGATAAACACAAGCCGACTGAGGAATGCATTACACATTGCTATTCGCGGGTAGAAATATTAACTACAATAAACAAGGACTAGTGACTTGCGAGTACCCGACAACTTTCCCCTAACAATAAACAAACAAAAAAATATGGAACAATAATAAATAATAATCTTATACTAATCTTTTAGCGTCTCTAAGCCGTTGGAAGTCGTTTGAATTTTAAGAAACAGGACTAATTTTACAAGTCCATTGAAAGTTATAAAATTAATAATTTTCTAAAATACTAACCATTAAAAATTTCTCTACTCAAATATAACAATGAACGTATGTTATAATCAGTTGTATTTTTTACGCATTGAATAACGTTTGGTGGCAGCGAAGGATGCAAGAAAATCCGTTTTACTTATAAAGTATATTCAATTACCAATTATAGACTTATATTTAACTACTAGCTAGGGAGGGGTCTTTAAGTCAGCGATTGACTTAAGACCCATTCTATAATTAAGTCTTATAACTAACTACATACTAAAGAGATGTCTGTAAGTCAGTGGTTGACTCCAGACTGAATATATGTAAAATCCCATTCTTCATTCTCACCGATGGTGCAAGGCATGTGGTGTCCATTTCACTTTCCCATTCCCACCAATGGCTCAGAGTCAGCATTCCGTACTTTACACAATTGTTATACCGAAAACTTAATATCCGGTTATGCTTACGTAACACCTCCCCCCGTAGAACAGCGTCTATTGAAGACCTGGGTCGTAAATTGCGCTGGGAGATGACCTGATCCGTCTCCTTGGGTTTCAGAGATGACGTAGAAGCTTTGCTGTGGATTTTCATTTTCACTGGACTGTCCCACCTTAAGCATTTTGTGTCTAAGGTGATATCTTCGATATGCAAGGCCGCCCATGAGTAGAAGCGTGTACAATGGTATCGTTGTATGATAGAGGCTTCTATCGCTGTCCTTGATGAATTGTACTGATGACTGTAACATTACTTCTCTATTGGCAGCGTGAAGCTTGTTCAAATGAATTGAGTTTAGTTTAAATATTTGACGTATTGCTGTACCGTTCATATTTTCTTCAGGAATGTCTACTATCTTCAAGGCTTGAGCTTTTAATTTATCTTTAAGATTTGAGATGATAAAATTCGATGGTTGTATATAACAGTTGTAGGGAATTATAGCTAAAAAGCTTCCTTGTAGCATTTTATAGACGTATTGACCGCAAGATAAGCGTGTTTTAGTTTGAGTTGGATAACTGATGGTGTAGTGTCGGTCGTCGAGTTTCTCGCGGTCTGGCGTATGTAGAGATGCGATGACTGGTTTTCAAGCACGATTTTTTTTTCTGCGTAGTAAGAAGAGCTGTTATACAATCAGGCGATGTCGGGCTGTACATGTTGTGTATTTCTTCATATAGATATCCTTTAATGGAATTCGAGCATTAAGCCTCTATGTACTTGAAATATGTACTTGAAATATGTAATTGAAATTTCAGAGGAATCGGGAGTGAGGGATAAGAACTTCATGATTTTTCTTAGGAGTAATTGATATTTTATACAAATTATATGTTTGGAATGGAATAATTGGGAATTTATACGTATATGTACTATAATCATTTAAATTACTTATACAATATGAACCTAATTGTATTAATACTCTCGGCGTCCTATGTATATCTAATACTCGATTATTACCGTAAATGCTACGTGACTTATCAATTATACTTCTTATTGAGTTTAAACTGATAACATCGTGGTTAGCCGTAGTTGTCTTTATAAATGCTAAAACTTTCTTTAACTTAATATGTACTTTACGATCTGTAGCTTA